CTGCACATTATTTCATCCAAAATTAAATCCGAATCCCGCTGAAATTAAACTAACAATCAGGGGATGTAGCTCAGTGGTAGAGCGCTCGCTTTGCATGTGAGAGGCCCCGGGTTCAATCCCCGGCATCTCCAAGTATTTTGCACACAGAAATGAAATCGTAAATTTAGCAGAAAAATTCGAGTTTCGAGAAAGATTTAATTTTTCAAAAAACCTGGGGATGTGGCTCAGTGGTAGAGCGCTCGCTTCGCATGTGAGAGGGCCCGGGTTCAATCCCCGGCATCTCCAGTTTCATTTTGCAGTCCAGCCATATAACCGACATAATCATTAAATAACAGTACATAATAAGTTTCCATGAGTTACAATTGAATCGAACAAGAATGGATTATTAATTGCATGCCAGCAATCATCAAATACCATTTTACTTTCAGCCTGTAACAAGCTGTTGACAGATATATACGTCATCTGGGTCCTCGCGACAAAATTTCTATTACCATTGTTATGTTTCCAACATTTGTAACATTCCAACAATTGACACAGTTCTATTTTATACTATATATTACGTTATATTTACGTTTATGTATATACATATATAATATCGCATATACAGTACGTCTAACAAGAGAGAAGGAAAAAAGTGAAAAAAGAACGACAAATTAGCAACATTGCGGTCTTTCGCTAAATCGGTGGCAACACGCTTCGCTCTCGCGTTGCCGGCCAAGCTCTGCTGCCGTGCGCATGCGCCGTCTACATGATAGCAACATAGTCGTCCGGCGATGTGACCTTATTAGATGCGAAATGAGCGTTAAAAATGTTTATAAACTCTCAAACAGGGTTGAGAGTTTAGCGGTCTGAAGCATCGGGGCGGAAATAGTGGGCAAATTAGGCATACATGCCCGCGCCACATACGCGTCGACAGTTAGTGTGTGTGGGCTGGAGATAATCCGATATCCATTGTCCATTATTAAGATGACAACTCAATAGAGAACCCGTGGTGAAATACAATCTGCTATCGGCCCGATCTGAGAAACTGCTAATGGATTTAATTCCGCGATGACGGGTTGGCAAAACGTTGTTTGTCTGTGTCTATAACGAGGGAGTTTAGGATGAAGGTGGTGATGGTGGTGGTGGCGACGAGAGTTTAGGTAATAATGGTATGTAGAGCAAGAGAAGGGCAGGGAGAAAGAAAGAGGGGGAAGGGGGAGAGAGAGGAGGAGGGAGAGAGAGAGAGAGAGAGAGAGAGAGAGGGAGAGAGAGGCAGAGAGTGAGAGCGAGTGCTGTTTCTGAATAGATCGGGAAACGGCATAAATGTAGACAAATTGAGTCTCGCCTATATGCGGACTTTTTACTGATTACTCCAGCACAACAATCAGCACAAATTTGTGCTGCTATATAGGCTGTAAACACAGCACATGGGCTGCAAACGTGCGCCCGCCATTTTCAGATTTGCGATAATAGAATGATCAAATAATTCCACGAAAACAAACGCACCTTGTTACGTGAGACGCAAATATTTATAGACTAGTGCCTATCTTGAAATGTATACATTAACAAACGTATTTAACCTATTGTAGAGACAGGGTTCCTGGGCAACCCCCCCCCTCTCTCTCTCTCTCTCTTGCACCCCCTTCTCTTTCTCTCTCTCTCTCTCTCTCTCTTGCATCTCTGCACATTTCCCAATAGATTCCTCGCAACAGGTGCTGCTGACCAAAAGTCGATCGATCAACGCCCCATCTGGCGGCGAAACAATAGCAGCATTATGCGGGGACGCCGACAGTTGCGCAACGTCGTTGTGAGGGCGTTACATTCATTCCCGTAACAATCCACTGCCTCGTAGTGATTAGCGTGGCACACTGTAAGACGGGCGCGGCCTCATTAACTTAGCAGGCGTATGTGGGGCGGGCTGGATCACCACAGAAACAATGCGGTGGGCTGGAATACATTTGTCTTCAATTAATTAGCTGATCGCCAATTGTCTTCTGCTACGCCCGCAGGCCATTGTTGGCGTACGACCGCTGCTGTGGTTGTGGTATGTCTGTTCCTACATCGACTTTCCGATTGGTTTAACCTTAATGTGACCGCAGCTGCAGCATTCTACCTTCCCTTGGATGCATGCTAGGGTTGACTTAACCGTTCCTCTACTGCTAGATTCATGCCGAAGATAACTGTGAACCCTATTTGGCGCAGATATACTATTCACTTTCTTTTATATCCATGCTAGGACTAGCCTACCCCTTCCCCACTCTTAGGTACATGCCATGACTAGTATATATAATATATCCCTTCTCACCGCAGATATATATCCACCTACTCCTACATATATGCGGCGATGCGTGCATTGTGTGTGTTTGCATGTGTGACCCGGTTGTCCGGCCCTTTCACACCTGCTGTTACGAGGAAAAACTGTTTACTTGATAAATAACATGTCGTCATGCAACCGTATTGAAATATCTCATATTATATATATATATATATCATACGGTTAAAGTGTATATATGTGTCAACAGCGTGTTACAGCCGGAAAGTAAAATAAAATTTGATGATTGCTGGCATGCAATTAATAATCCATTCTCCTTCGATAACTTATGGGAACTTATTATGTACTGTTATTTACTGATTATGTCGGTTATATGGATGGCGCTGCAAAATTAAACTGGAGATGCCGGGGATTGAACCCGGGGCCTCTCACATGCGAAGCGAGCGCTCTACCACTGAGCCACATCCCCAGAATTTTGAAATAAGAAACCTTTTTCGAAACGCGAACTTAATTATTATGATAAATTCACGATTTTATATCTGTGTGCAAAAGGATTGGAGATGCTGGAATTGAACGGACCCGGGTTAATTATTGAAAAGTTAGCAAAACATTGGTAATACTATTTTTATCTCAAGCACCCGGATGACATTCACAGCGCATGCGCACAGACACGGCTGGCGCACACCAAGGAGCTGAATATAACAAGGAGAGGAAGCGCCGCCAAATCTGGCCCAAATCTTTGCCATAGTTGGTCATATTGGCCTAGAACAGATTAGGGTTCTATTGTCTCTGGGTTCGGGTCTGCACAGCCGTTTCAGCTGATTATGGTCTATAGATGGCGTCCTTGTGGCGAAAAGCACACAGCCAATCCGCTTACTCTCCTTGTTATATTTAGCTCCTTGGCGCACTCCGTATTCGCGCTCTGTATTCGCGCTCACACACAATGTGTTAACGAGCCCTTTCTGTTGATTTTCTTCTAGTCGTGAAAGACGCGTTAAACGTTGAACGTTGCGCCATTGCTTACCCAATACACACAGTCTATGTTTGCCTGCAATCTTTACATCGGCCCAAAGCACACACAGACACAGACACACAGACAGAGATAAGAGTCAAGGGCGGGACCTCTACGAAGATGCTGCTAATTCTTTAAAAAAAAACTAGATTCATATGAGCGTTGACGTATTTACTTCGATTGCACCAAACCTTCGAAGCATGTGAGATGACTGGGCTACCACTGATTCACACTGGGCTACATTCTCTACCCTTTGTTGCGATTTCAACGGGATTTGAACTTAATTTGTGCAGTAACCAACCGATTTGGTATGGAAAACAATTGGAGATGCCGGGGATTGAACCCGGGGCCTCTCACATGCGAAGCGAGCGCTCTACCACTGAGCCACATCCCCTAAAACTATGTTTGGATTTTGTCTGCAAAAGGCAAGAAAATAATAGAATTAATTTATTCTAGTTGTAAATTCAGCAGGCTGGACCTTTAATGTTCGCGACTTGCAACATTTGACACCTTTATTGGCGAGTATAAATTAATTACTCATCAAATAATGTTTCAATACTAATCATAACTAATGTAAAATTGAAACGCTAGAAAATTCGTGAAATACCGAAATCTGGTGCCTATATACTCTACTCCTGGGGCCTATACTAGCTCCCACGTACCAATTAATACAATAGATGGCACTACCACTGCGCCAGACGCCAAAATGGTAAGTGCCACTCAGTATTCAACCACTTCTGTAACTCCACATGAGTATACAGACGACTAGGGGCCTACTTGTTGTGCCTGCTAATAACACGTGTCAATATCACTCTTTATCCGTCGTATCGCATCTCAATAATCTTGTTTGCGTAAGACGATAGGAGCATTTCGGAATTCCTTTTGAAGTTAATGAACCCATGGGCCATGATTTGATCCGAAACGACCGACTTCCAAAAAGAAAACCCAGTTAACGAGTCAAATAAGTGACATATAATTGCCTTGGTGCAGCCGGCATTAAGTTGGGACACAAAGCCGGCTTTATATATCATCATAGCATATATAGCACGCACGTGTTGTATACACACACCACACGCAGTAATTAACCCGACCAGGATTTTTTTTGATTAGTAGTCAGCAGCAGCAGCAGTAGTAGTAACAGCAGTAGAAGTCGCAGCAGCAGTGGTAGCAGCAGCAGCAGAGCGCGACAAACCCGCTTGCCCACGGGCACTTGGAACGTCTCAATAACAAAAAGGTAATTATATAAACACGAAATGTATTTACTACCAAAGTCTTAATGTTTCTCTACTTTATTTCGCCTATAATGATATAACCTGTCCTGTAAATGCCGGTCAAATGCTCATCTGCAACACACAAGTACACGCACACTAGCTGCTGCGCACTGACACATAAATATATATCAGGAGTAGATAATAGGGAATTCCCCTGATATATATATACACTACAGGCCCGTAGCCAGCTTTATATTGGGGGGGGGGGTTCGTTTTTCAATGTTGGCA